CTTGACATGTATTTGTTCCTACGGCCAGTGGCCGGATTTTGCCCGGAGTGGGATCTCAAATTCACAACATGATTAATCTGATCACTATCCCAGCGCCAAGATTTTACTTGGAAAGTACGTCGTGAACCGCCCTACCTAGTGTATTTATTACGCCGTTGTGATGAACGAATGAAATACAGTACATTTGGTGCATGAGGATGTGAGAAAAAAGCGGAGATATGAACGAAATATTCCTAATTTAAGGTATTGTTGATCCATTTATTGTACGTTTGCGGAGAGGCACATCAAGGATATCAAGCAAGGACAGCCTAGTCGCACCGATTCCAGGTGCAAAGCATTCCCCCGTACATTCGTCGTCGGTCGTCTTGCCTCCTACCATCTTTCACAGTTAAAGGTATGTTCAAATCTGTATCTTGAGCTGTGATGGCCTCTGTTTCAATCTGCTGACAGCCACAAACCACCCGGGCTTATCTCCTTGCGAAATTGGCAGGTCTATACAAGCACTCGCTTATTCTGCGGACACATTGCTCTCCTTGAGGGCTTCTCTTTCAGGCAACCAAGTAGGATTCAATCAGAATGCACAATATCAAATGTATGTCTTGCTTGTCTACTGTCGATATCAGCTAACACGACATTCAGGTGTTGTAGTTGGTGATGGTGCTGTTGGCAAGGCAAGTTCTCCTTCATATTGAGGCTCTGGCGTCGAGAGATTCATGGGTGATTCAGACGTGTCTTCTCATCTCTTATACCACAAATGCCTTTCCAGTGAGTTTTATGCGCTCTTGTGTTGGAACAACATTCAAGTTGTTTCATAGGGAGAATACGTGCCAACAGGTATGATCGGTGGGTGACCTGACAGTGCTACCGTCTCACTCAGTATCAGTATTCGACAACTACTCTGCAAATGTGATGGTCGACGGGAAAACCATTTCTCTCGGCCTATGGGATACCGCTGGACAAGAAGATTACGATCGTCTCCGTCCACTCTCCTACCCTCAGACAGATGTCTTTTTGATCTGTTTCTCACTCGTCAGTCCACCTAGCTACGAGAACGTTAGAACCAAGGTGCGTCACTCTTCGTTCAAATACACTAACTGTTTTTGTTAACCACAGCAATCCAGTGGTGGCCCGAGATTTCACATCATGCACCATCTACTTCGGTGGTCTTGGTTGGCACTAAACTGGATTTGCGCGAAGATCCTGCTACCATCGAGAAACTCCGTGACCGGTAAGTTCTGGCATACTACCTGAGACCTGTTCTTAATCCCAAATTACCCAGACGCATGCAGCCCATCCAGTACACGCAAGGAGTCTCGATGGCGAGGGACATTGGTGCTGTCAAGTATCTCGAATGCTCTGCGCTATCGCAAAAGGGCCTAAAGACCGTGTTTGATGAGGTTATCCGTGCTGTTTGTGAGCCTGCTTGTTGATCCTCATCGCGAGACGTGTTTAACCAGACTTACAGTGAACCCTCCCCCGAAGGAAAAGAAGCGCAGTGGTCGTGGTTGTGTTATCGTATGAGAGTGGACTTGTTATTACCATGCTCATATAGATGGATTTTCTTTGTTTTATCATATCACGCCCATTTATGTTGTTGCTTCTGTTACGACCTATATGTTGCATCTGATGGGTTCTTAGTCATGATTGATATGGAGCGGGAGCGTACTTAGTGCGAGTCTAAGTAAGATGTCGAGTGTAAATATTATGGTCCCGGATATGGTTGAGCGAGTTACTTTTAAGATTGTTTTAGGATTGACGTTGTCTGAGGTGGTTCTTCGACGTTTCAACACCTTTGGACCTGCACTCCTTCCACTGCTTCCACTAGTGGACCTTACTTATCAGTTGGTCCAAGTTTGCATGCTGTAATCACTCGCTATCATACTCTTTATCAAGTCCACGTTTCCAATCTTTATCGATGCCTAAAGCACCAGGTTCAGTCGGCTCGGGAACAGGCGGCGCTACTGTACTCAAGAGAAATCAGGTCAAAGACTTTTTTCTCTTTCCCTCCCCAAACACTCAAATTATCTTTTAGGCCTGCCATCAGTGCAGACGACGCAAATTGGTGAGTTTTAATCTGTCATTTGAGGCAGCATTCTGACCTATACCACTACAAGAAATGGTAAAGTCATGTCTAGATGAGAGCTGCCTTTGCTCAGATAATCATCCACCAGTGATGCCAGACGACCCTGCTCGACGTGTGTTCGCTCGCACAAGCATGCTCGCGACCATGCACAGCCCGGGGCAAACTTACCGGAAAGGCCGGAATGCACATTTGACGAAGGTACGCGTCATCGCTGGTAGATTGCTCTTGTGTTCAAATCTCAGATCAGTTGCAACAACGGAGACCCCATCTACTCCATCAGATAGTCCCAAGAACAGGTTCGAGCGATTGGAGACTCGGATAAGTATGTATATGGCTTGCTCAATTCGTGGAAACTCATCACCAAATTATCGTCCTCAGAGGAGCTCGAGGCACTTTTAAGCCAAAAGGAGCTGGCAACATCCCCAGATGCTAATCCATCTAGCAGTTCGACTCTCTCGTCTATCCAGAATTCACCTGCTTCTATTCAATCCGTGCCATCAAATTCACGTCCTGGTTCGGCATCCACAATGAACTTCCCGAGTGATCTAGAATCCCTATTGTCACCATCTAATTTGGACATGAATGCTCAGACGGTTAACCCATACTTTTGGAATGGCAATTCACATCTCATTGAAGGTGCAAGCGCCAGGATCGATGCTCCCTTGCTTTCATCTGGCATGGGTACGTGTGGCGACCCCTCTTTCTTGTAAATTTAGATTCCATTTCTCTTGGCAGACGTCATCTGGTCACATTGGCCTGTCAACCTCCCTCACCCAGAACTCATTCGTCATTTGTAAGTCGTTTCTCCGATCATTTTCTTCGGCTTATTGTTCGTACTAGGGTCGATATGTTCTTTTTGTTTCACCCGCACGCATCTCGCCTTTTCCACAGGGCTAACTTCATAGCTTCGCTATCATACCCGCCAGATCATCCTGATTTCCCCGTTGCACCCGTTCTACATGCCATATGCGCCGTCAGTGCCATCTACACTGCAGCTGGAGGACCCCGAACAAATGCTGCAGACTTTCCATGTAAAAATTTCATCTTTTAATTGTTCCAACGTCTATTTGGCTGACAATCGCCTTTGTGGCAGACGAAGGACAATTTGCACAGCCGGACCTGCCTGATACATTTGCAGAGCAACAAGCAAGCCACGCTAAGGAAACGGTCGAGAAGTACTTGAACAAAGGTCAACACTTGGTTCAATGCGTGCAAAGTCAGTGAGTCTGTGTGAGCGGCTGCGTAGTGACTAACTGTCTTTCAGCATATGTTCTACTGACGTGGTATTATTGGTGTCACTCGAAGTCAGTTTATCTTCTATCGAATATTCTCTTACTTACCAGCTTGTGGCAGATGGGTTGAGGTTGCTATGATTTACATGCCTCATGAAATATCGCTAACTGCCTTTGATGCAGTTATTTACTTGCAGTGGCCAATCTTTGCGCGTTGCGATTCCGTTGGGACTAAACATTTGCCCTCCATTTCGTTCGTTACTTGGGAGCTCCCCAACAATGTCGATAATCTCGCCGCCTCGCACTCCAATTGAGGACGAAATACGAAGAAATACCTTCTGGCTGGCGTACGCAGTTGATCGCCAGCATGGATCTGGCACTGGTTGGGCGCTCTCTCTTGATGATGACGACATCGCCCAAGTTTTCCCAGTCACAATGGAGCAGTTTGAGTTGGGGGTTAGTATGACACTTGCTTTTCTTCCTGCTAGCTGACAATCTACTCAGATACCTGTGAACTATAACGTGCGCCAGTGGTGTCACGTCAGAGAAGCGGTGCTTTTCCATCCCCCCGATATCACCGATTCCTTCACGTTGTATATCAAGAGCACTATGCTTCTTTCTTTCATCAAAAACTTCAACCACCGATACAGGATCAAATCGAATTTGGGAGACGCGAGATTCCTACCGGCAAGGAACTTTGCAACCCAGGTGTATGGAGATCAACCAGATATTCGGTCATCCCCTGCCTTCCTGGAATTGGATCAGTTGCTCATGTCGTTCCGGTCATCGTTTCCGAGTAATCTGAAAGACCCATTCAGAAATGGACAAGTGGACACGCACTTATACACGACTTTCCTCACCGCACATGTGTGAGTTGTTGAAGTTTTCTGACCATGCGTCTAAGCTCATTGTCATATTTTCAGATCAATGATTTTACTTCATGAACCTCACGCCAATCTAGAGAGGAATTGCACTTCCGCTGCCAAAATACTCGAGAGTGCCCGTGCAATTCTTGAACTCATATATGCGATGTGGTCCACGAATTATGATATCGGGCTTTTGGACTATTTCTGCTCGGTATGTGATAGCTAACCTGGGGTCGCTTATATCTCATCTACTTTGCTAGTTTTGCTGGTATCTTGCCGGTCAATGTTTTGGCCGTTTCCTCCGCGCTGCCCAGGAAGCTGCTTGTGTCCAACAAATAGACACCCTACGGGCAGAGCTCGACTTTGTAAGGTCAGTGGTGCGTGACGCATGGTGATTCCCTGAATAACAAACTCTTGGCTCAGGATGGCATTGAGCAAAATGGCCGAACGAGTTCCCCTCTCATGTACGTTATTCGGATGACTTTAGCTTCCGGTACTCAATGTTATATTTTTAGACCGGTATCAGAGAATGTTGGATGCCGTGCATTTGAGTCTTGCGGACGGGAGACCAGTTTCCACTGTCAGCGATCAGCAACTGCTTGCCAATGTCTCGCAGGCGAGCACAAGTCATCCCGACGTGGCATACTTCCTTAAGATAAATAACATAAATCCCCAGCCTTAACTTTTTCCCCACTTTTTTTTTTTTTTTTGGAAACAGTCTGTCTCGTTATTAAGTTATCGCAATAAATAATGTATTGTAAATTTTACCATGTTTTGCCTCTGTCCATGAAGTACTTTAGCAGCTACAGCTTCATGTACTTTCTTGTTTTTTTTTTGAATCTTGATGTGATACGATTACGACAACGATCATGCGTTTCACTGTGTATGTAATTCGTTTGATGACCTTTGGACGTCCTGCCTGGCCAGACAAGCCTGGACGAAGAATAGACTATCGATGTCGAACACTCTTTCTGCATTGGCATCAAGTTCCGAAGAAGTGCAGGAGTTGCCTGCTCTGAATTTCTTGGGTCCGCCCGGAACATATTCCCATCAAGCGGCGTTTGACGTTTTTGGTGATTCTGTCCGTTATGTCGCAAAGCAGACGATCACTAGTAAGTCGGTCTTCTCCTGGTCACTCATATTTGTAATGATCTGTTGGATCATCTAGGCGTCTTCGAGTCTTTATCGCCTGAGTTGCCCTTTGGTATCATACCCCAAGAAAATAGTACCAATGGGTCGGTGATCGAAACCTACAACCTACTCCGATGCGAATCCGCCGGTCGAGATAGTTTTGTGAGAGGGGATACAAACCTATCGATCAAACACTCCCTGGTAGTTCGGGAAAATGTCAAAATCGAGGACATCGAACATGTTTTCAGCCACGAACAAGTGAGAACACATACGTCTCCCTTCTTGCATATGGCACATTCTGATGGCATCACTGCAGGCTTTAGGCCAATGTAAGGCGTTTTTGCAAGGACGCCTTCCAAGAGCGTCGCTTGTGCCGACAGACTCGACTGCGAGCGCTGCTCGTGCATTGCTCAACGCACCGTCCGAGAGCTTTGACCCCTTCAAGAGTGCAGCGATCTGTTCAACGGTCGTGACTTCGCTGTTTCCTGGCCTGGAAGTGTTGCACACTGGCATCCAAGATGGAGAATGTATGTGATTTCTATGATGCATCACAGAAACGAGCTAAGATTCTGCAGCCAACATGACGCGCTTTTATATCGTATCCTATGGCGCGGACGCTCGGGTCCCATGGCAAACGCCACCCATCGACCAGAAGCGTGCTCTAATCCGTCTCTTGCCTGACAGAGACTCTTTGGCATGGGATTTTTCACGGGCGATCAAGGCACTCAACATACCCATCTCCCGCATAGACCGACGACCATCCCTATCTTCAGCCACCTTCCATGATGTATACTTTCTTGAAGTGTTTGCCGAAGGGGGAGAAGAAGGTGATGTTACCTGGTTCGATCGTGTGAACCAGGCCGTCGAAAAATTAAGGCAAGAAGGTCTGGAATTCACAGTTCTGGGCATATGGTAATATAGATATTCGTGTAGGTCAGAATTACAAGTATATTCGTTTCATGCAAGGTCTACTTGCGCAATATCGTGTCATAATAAAATTTCGAATTCCATCCGTTAAGCACGCGAAGCCGAGAAACAGGAGAGCCTGAAGTTCACAATCTAGACCTCCCACTGATGCACATAGTTCAGGAGGCGGTACCCTTGATTAATTCATCGGCTCTTTCCGAGCGAGGTATAAAGCGACATTTGAAGGGCTTGGGTCGGCTTATCGTGACTGTAAATAACTCATCTTCTGAAAGTAACGACATGACACACCTAAGCAAGGAGGAAGTGTATGCAACCTCAGGTACAATCTCGAGGCCATTTTCATCAATGCATCTCTCGATCGAGTACACAGATAAAATGCACGCAATGGAAAACCAAACAGTTTCGTAAGCTAGCCAGCGTCCGGGGCACATCCTGAACGAAGTGAATACTTTTGGCTAAATGAAAGTATTTTGGTAACAAACCGTCTTCCGAACCCGAAGGCTGGCCAAGGAAGCTTGTTGATACCAAGGTCGTCGTTCTTCTTCTGGTCTGAGAAACGCTCAGGACTGAAAATTAACGGATCCGGGTAAACATCGGCGTCATGAAGTATTGCCCTATGAATTATAAGTTTCATTATTTTTCATTTCATCGATGTTTGACTTACCAGACGTTGGGCAAGACCGAGGTACCGTTTGGAATAAAATATCCGTTGTATTCATCATCTGAAGTTACAAGGCGAGCCAACCCCATAGGGAGTACTGGATTCCATCGCAGACATTCCCAAACAACGCAGTCAATAAATGGCAGTTTAGATCTGTCAGCAAACGTTGGCAGGCGGTCCATGGCAAGAATATCATCAAGTTCTTGCTGCGCTCGTGTCTGCACTTCGGGATGAACCAGCATCGCCAGAACGAAGGAAAGCAAGGTAGACACAGTCTGCAAATCGAATAAGTGACGGCCAAAGAACTCATGAATATTTGCAGCGAACCGTATCTGCGCCAGCTGAAATTGAGTTAGAGTCAACATATCCAAGTGCAATAAAAAAATTACCAACCTGCATAGGAGATACCTGCTACGTTTTTAATTATGGTCTCATAGTCGGGATCCGAATTTACATCCTGTTGCAACTTCTCTAATTCCTTCTGCGCAAAACACGGAATAGCAGTGCCGTTCGCGATACGTTCCCTCACTGCCTGAAATGGTTGGTCGATCATAGCCCTAGTCTTTTTGCGCCATATCGACGCTTGACGCTTGAAATTTGCGCCGGGCATGCGTGCAGGAACGTATTTTACTGCAGGCATGGATACTAGTCAGTACTGTTGATCATGGCTCGTGCAACCGACTTACAAAATGGAAGATAATCTACCAAAAATGTGCCAAAGATGCCTGCCATACCAAGACCCTGCATCGCTTCGTCTGCCAATGTTACGTAAATGTCACCTTTGTCTGAAACCTCATGTCCGTACGATATTTTCATAACGATAGCCGCGGCTGTTCGGCGCAAGTGGTGAGCAAAATCATCCGGTGAATGGGCCAAATTTCGGAGAGTTGTATAAGTCTCCTTGGTGACGACTGAGTAATAATCCGAGGTCAGCAGCTTGTGAAAGTGACGACGGAAGAGAGATCTGTCTGAGGGGCGAAAATTCACTTTTACATGCCTGTTATAATAGACCACGTACGTTGTTTCCACCTCCTCCCGTACGGCATTGACGAAAAGAGCCAATCCCATCCCATTCTACGGCTTTCAGCCACGTATCAGTGATCGATTCACAGCAGTACTTACAGTTCGACCACCATAGTTCTGACAGGCCTGTGTTCTTTCATGATTACCCAAGAGACAGATCAAGTCGCAGAACGGACTTGCCTTGAAGAATATTTTCTGCTCCGCCTTTCAAAAAGTTCTTCTGCTGCCTGTGCCGAGTTAACGACAATGATGGGGTTGCCCAGAACGTAGACATAGATGATGTCGCCTGTAAACGTTATGGGTAGATAAGTTATTTGATAGACATTACTCCTAATGTTTACCGTATAATTCTTTCCACTTTGCATAATGAAGCCACTGATAGCTGGAGGGCAAATTAAAATTGCCAAACCAACCTGTGGGAGGACCAGGCGGTAGGGGCCTTTTCACGGCAACTGTGGCGAGTACAGTGCGTGGCAGGAACCATGCGAGTGCGAAGAGGGCGAGAAAAAATGTGGAAAGATCAGCGGGGGGGAGGCTGAATGACGACGGCATCATATTCTATGATGGAAGGGAAGAGGCTGACGAGGCAGACGTGAGGATACGAATTACCTCGGCAGCTGGTATTTTATCTTGGTGTGACGATCTGATCATTAGAGTTCTATGCAACCCTTAATAACTACGTACAGTTGACGTACAGATTATGGGAAGCCATTGCCCCTGATAAATAAACCCCGTGACGTGTCGCTTCTTCTTTGCACCGCTTTCAACTTGTCAATAATGGCCACTAACCCATTAGCTGGCCCATCAGCCCTCAAGGATATCGTCCATCCTCAGTTTCACCAGAACAACTTTCCAGAAGAACTATATGTAAAAAATGAACTTGGTCTCAAGCTCGATAAAGGTAACTTTCTTCGGTTTTTAATACCATCTCTTCCACTCACAACTTCTTTCAAGACGATCAAATATGTCGTCTGTCCTTGACCCCAACTGGATGTCCATTAGGACCACTTCACTGTCCTTTACGTCATACAACGCCCTCTTCACAGAACTTTCAGCCCCCAAAGCAGTTACCCACACATCCTCGTGAACGAGAACGTTTAGCTACAGTCTGTAAACATTGGCTACGTGGTTTGTGTAAAAAGGGTGATGCGTGCGAGTTCTTGCACGAGTACAATCTCAGGCGGATGCCAGAGTGTTGGTGGTATGCAAAGTACGGTTATTGCTCAGCAGGAGATGAATGCCTCTATGCTCATCCCAAGGAACGCCGTGTTGAATGTCCTGATTACAAACGCGGGTTCTGCAAACTAGGTGTGTGCCTCTGTCAACTCGTCACGTCGGATCTATTAATATTCCACATAGGACCAACATGCCCTCGCAAGCATGTTCGCCGTGTCGCCTGTCAACTCTACCTAACCGGTTTGTGCCCCCTAGGTCCAGACTGCCCTCGTGGCCAGTGCGTGTAATCCATATTCTTTCTTCTTACTTGACTTCTTTGTTGTTCCCAGTCCAAAACCTGACTTACCGCCACCTAAATCATACGAACCTCCATCACCGCCTTCGAATCGTGACCTTGGCCCGCCGCCACCAGGATATGGTCGGTATGCTGATTTCGATCGAGGAGCCATGGGTCCGCAGGCGACGTCGCACAGTGGAGGACCGAACGGTGGCGGACCACCTCGTAGAAACCTCGATGAAGTGCTGTGTTTCAAGGTTTGTTTCTACGCATTTATTTATAGAGGAAAATACTCATCATGCCCAGTGCGGAGAAAAGGGCCATTATGCCAATCACTGTAGGAATCGTAATGTACCAGGCAATCGCGGTGGTTTAGATCGTGCCAAGAGGTTCGGCATGGAAGATTGATACTAGGCACCCATTGCCTCGTGAATGTACTTTGTGTTGTGCCTTGGAATGAACCTGTCATTTCGACACCTTGAGAGAAACGACACACATGTGCAAGCGTCACCAACTACACGAAGTGGCGACTTCCGTCACTCCAGTCTCCAGGCACCTGCTGATCAGTGCACCTGAAATGATTCCCTTTTTCTAACAAGGTTCAGACTGCCGATGCTAGTAACTCGCCTGGGAGGGGATAAGCATCTTATTTTCATTGAAATGCAGGACTATACATACAAGTACTAGCACCGAGAATAATCTTGGCCAGGCCGGAACAAAATCTATATGCGGGATATGCGTGATATATCATGCCAAAGAGAGTTTCTCTAAGTCTAAACAGGTAGCCGTCTGGCCATGTACCTAATTTATAAAAAGCGTCCTCAACTAAGATTTAAGTTCAAGGTGTCATAAACTATCTACGGCCCGTAGCGCCGAAACTGTCGTGCACTATTGTTTATCTGGTTATCACGGAAACGCTCTGACCACTAAGGATTTCGAATGCTGCATGTGCATGAGGGCTTGACGTCTTGACCGCAATGTTTTGGCGCTACTTATTAATTTGGTGGCTGATGTCATTGTTTGGCTGGCGACAACGGGTACTAACTTACAATTATGTAAAGCAAACAGTCTTGAATTAGAGCGCTATATACTTCTCCACTGTACTCCCACCGTTTGCCCCTCGCCTCCGAGCCCATCAAACTCCAGTAGCACAGTTCGGATGAGTCTCTCTTGTAGCCACGTTAAATGCTGATCCTATCTGGTTTGCTCATCCCGAGCTAACGCTCGGTCCAGCCCAACCTCATAGATTGTGTCATTGACTCTAGAGCCAGACGAAGCTAGACTCTTGTAGCTACATTAAATGCTGATTCTATCTGGTTTGCTCATGCGCCTTCCCAAGCTAACGCTCGGTCCAGCCCAACCATAGATTGTGTCATTGACTCTAGAGCCAGACGAAGCGAGACAGCCACGTTAAATGCTGATCCTATCTGGTTTGCTCATGCACCTTGGTGTCATATGAAATAACCTAAGTGCGCTGTCAGCTCCCACTCTCCGCACAGCTACCGCTTTGGCTGCCACGGTGCTACCTATCCTCCGCGCACATCAAGAGAGACATGGAGGTGACTGAGGATTGGTATTGGTTGCAGATACGAAAGGCATTAGGCAACCTGTCAGGGCGGACTAAAGCCAGGACTGAATGGATGGCGTTAACCGGAAGGTCGTTCTCGTGTATGTCTGAAGAAACTTGTGAGAAGCTGGAGTCTAGGTTGCTGTGAAGAGTGTATGACTCTGGGAATCGCTGGAATCCAGAAACCAGTACAGACAACATGTACTACACAGATCGTGGAATGTTTGTGCGGGAAAATTAACGGGTCAAGCGAGCGGCTGCCCTCCGTGACGATGACATAAGCTTTGTCACTTTCAAATTCCCATAGCGTAGTTAGCCAATGAAAATCGTTAATCGTTAATCCCAAAGGTCCCTCTGAGAGTTTGAGTTGTCCTGACCTTTCTTTTACTGTTTCCATACGATGGGCTGGCAGAAAACCTTTTCGCTTTCACAAAGATCCAAGGGGTGTCATCTTGTCACGGATGAGGTTTACGCCCATATCACACCAGGTATCAAGGACGTGAAGGTACGACTAGTACTATTCACTTGATTCGGTTAT